AATAAAATTGAATTGATACAAATGAAGCATTCAATACCGTCTTGCTTCAGGTCCACTTTTAGTACAAATTAATACTACTTTGATTTTGTACAGTTGCACGCTTTAAGTGCGATCACTCTATTGTTTTCAATTGTTTACTTAGCACTATTTTGTAGTAAATAGTGCAAAGAGTTGCACGCTAGTGCTTGTACTCTAATACAATCATTCAGCACTTTTTACATTTCATTTACTACATTAATTTATTTTCTCTGCATATTTCAGTGTGTGCCAGGGTATAAACCCCCTCTTCTCGAAGACCAACCGGCTAMGACTCAAGTTTGTTACGAATGCAGAAGGGCGTGGTCGCGGGTTCCTCGCYAGGTACACAAGTTCTTTGACAACTGGTAAGAACTATTCTGGTACTTCTATTACGCGGAAAACAAAAGATGCGGACAATATTGTCCATAATGCCACCATGTCCGTAATGTAAAATTAAGTTCAAATAAGATTAATAAGATAGAGAGTACTTTATCTTTTATTCAGAATGTGGTGGCGACTATAACGACGAAAGTGGTAACATACTATCCCAAAACTATCCATACAACTTTCCCACGATGTCAGAATGCATATGGAGAATTGAGGCTCCGAAAAACAAGTATATTTCACTGCGTTTTAACGAGTTTATCGGAGTGAATGGAACGGTGAAGGGATGTCCTTTGGATCATATCGAGATTAGAGATGGTCACGATAAAGATGCCAAATCGCTAGGTAAAGATACGTACACTAAAGTCTTATCATAATAGACACCTTGGGAAACGAACTAGTGTCCGTAATAGCGAGTGTCCGATACAAAGGGGRTATTCATTGCATTTTTTGTTAATGAATGGCGTGACACACTAATGAAGTATATCTTTATATCGTACATCGAACTAAATAGCCTGCGTAAACGCTGGATGAACTCAGGCTACGAACTAAATTGAGTCCATTATGGATTGAATGCTCACCCTTCCTACTAAATCCGCCCATATTCCACTTCGAGTGTTTGCTGTGGTAGCATTTATACAAAACAAGGTTCATGGGCTACCTGTGGTTCATTTCGCCAAGGATTGCGTTTSCTTTCACTTCTCGATTTACTTTTTAACAGGAAAATTCTGCAATTACAATCCGCCCGGAGTCATTGTGTCCAGCCGTAATCACATGTGGATACGTTTTCAGTCGAGTCTCAGCATGACGCCAGGTAGATTCAGTGCGATCTGGCTCGTCCATTCAAGAGGTAATAATTAGTAACTTCGTATTTAACCTGCACCTTTTAAAATGGTTGCTTTACRCTTGTTCAATCGATTTGTTTAAGCAATAAACAACACATTTTCGTGCGTTCCTGGTTTTTCGTGTTTTTCCAATATCACAAGTGGTATTATTTCACCAGGAACRCACGAAAACGTGTTGTTTATTTCTTTTATATTATTGCACTTTGTATCCGTGCGTTTTCTGGTGAAATACACGACTGTAAACAATAACATTTGACCACTCAGCTAGCGCATACTATGATAGCTATAATATAATATATAATAATACTCAATATATTAATTGACCACTCAGCTAGCGCATGCTATGATAGCTATAATATAATATATAATAATATTCAATATATTAATTGTCTGTAATACAGAATGTAATGCATCTCTTGGCATGGAGGACGGACGCATCGCCGATACCCAGCTAACAGCCTCTTCATATTCCAACTACTTCCCTGGCGGTTATGGGCAGAGTCAGCAATTGCCACTATTGTCAAAATATGGTCGATTGAATGGCGCTTATGCTTGGTGTAGTCAGGTATGCTTGTGAATGTTTTTCAGCTAGCTACCCCCTTCCCTCTCAACCCTCTCCTTAAATGTTTGCACCTAAATTAATTTACAATTATATTCTTCTTATATATAGGCTCAAGGAAGACAAATGATTTTGGGAGAGTACTTCCAGGTCGACTTTAAGAACTTGACAAAATTGACAGCCCTTGCTACKCAGGTASATCACTATTACAGKTCTTYAGSTCCCCCCATCAAAAATTTCAAATGTCCCCTTTATAATAGGTAAACCTCAGTATTACGGACAGTTTATTGCGACTCGGTTCACGTACTTAATAGACGTCAAATGTATGGTACTGAGGTCAATGTTTATCATTTAGAGTTTTGTTCATCAAATCCGTACACGTAACGGACACGTGCACATCGACTCCATCACATCGTACAAAATAGAGTTAAGCTTCGATGCTCAGTACTGGATAGCGTACAGCGACGGTAGTGACAACAGCACTGCTAAAGGATTTACGGTAAGATAGCATGTGATTTCAATTAATTATTTTTATTAAGTAATATCATTATTTGCGTTTTGCTTATCGCGGTCGGTGAGACAATCATTTTTGAAACCGTTGTAAAGTGATAACGATGAATACTTATCAGCGGTTATAATGAAGCAGTGGGTTGCATTAATTTCAGGAATTTCTTGGGAACTACTACATAGCAGGCTCGGTAAAGAACTTTCTTCGGCCACCAATCAYAGCCAAAATGATTCGAGTGATGCCCACCAACTATGCCAGTATCCTGGGTCACATGTGTCTTCGTCTGGAAGTTTATGGATGTCCATATGATCTGGGTATGATCGATAAAAATCGTTGTAGTTTGTTCATTTGTTCATTTGTAAGTATTGCTAAAAACACTAATACGTCTTTTTGGTCTCTTTGTCACAATCAATGATCGATGATTCATTACAGGGTGTGGAAAAACAATATCAATTGATAATGAAACCCCTCATAATATCAGCGTCCAAGGACATCAAACAAAAGAAACGAATTGCAACTACGTCACTAAGCCAGATCCACCAAGCTACAAAGACCGTGTGGTTATTTGGACGTTCATATTCTTTAATATCCCGTGCAGCAAAGGATATATTGAGATGCAGGTGAGAGATTATGTTAATATTGCAACGAAAAAAATGAGAGAAATTAAATCTTCTTCTTCTTCTTCTTCTTCTTCTTTTTCTTCTTCCGGCAACGTCTCTCTCTTCAGGTAGCGGCTTCTGCTCTTCCATGAGGACACAGCAGTCCCCGAAAGCTTAGTTAGAAGCAAGGAAGAAAATGAGCTGCCTCAGTCTTTAACTTAGTTCGTACTGCTTTTGCATTATCGAAGCTTAATGTTCAATTTTTCCTCTTAAGCACAAATCAGGAAAGGATGGCAAGCTTTGCGGCAACCCACCAGASCTTGTTTATATAATGCGAGCATCAGAACAGTTGGATTTGAAGGTGCACCTAAAGAAAGGATCTCAAAACTTGGGCTTTAAAGTCAGCTATAAAACAGAGTCACTAGGTAAAAATCGCATATATAAAATCGCTTTACAATGGGAACTCGTTAATCCGGCCACTAAAGGCCGAATGGCCGTACTAACCAAGTGGTCGGTATGGCTTGATTCCACTGTCTTCATTTTGTATTTACGCAGTGCCTGATACTTATCATCGATCATTTTTTTAAGGGTGTGGTGAGATCATATATGTTCGTAGGAACGGTTCCATAGCATCTCCTCGCTTCCCAAAGAACTATGGAAATGACCATAACTGTACATGGATATTGATAGCAGCACGCACAACCGCTAAGATTGGAATTAGATTTAAGGAGTTCGATCTTCAGCCAAAGAATGCGTCCTCTGGATGTGCAGATTATGTAGAGATCAAGGATGGTCAGTTGGGTAAGAAAAACATCGATCAAATACAAAGCAGTTCGCCTAAAGTCGCCTAAAATCGCCCAAAATCGCAGTAAATCGCCTTAGATTTAGATGGGTTTTTGGTAATTTTTGCTTAAATCGCCTAAAATCGCGATTTTAGGTCCCGGACTAGGCCTAAGCAGTATCGTCTTATATCGGTCTGCTTTAGAACATACAATGATTAGACTTCCTGTATAATAAACTGTCATTTTTGCCATTGTATAGCTGAGTCACCTGTTGTTGACCGTTTCTGTGCAAGCACACTACCAGGGGAGTTCATATCGAATCAGAATTCATTCCGCATTGAATTCTACAGTGATTCAGATGTAACTGGAAAAGGCTTCTTGCTGGAATACAGTTATCAACCTTCTAAAGAACAAAGCCAACTCAAAGGTATTTTGGGAATAATCTTTTAAGAAATCCTCCTTCTCCTTCTCCTTCTCCTTCTCCTTCTCCTTCTTCTCCTAACATGACGGCTGTCAATGATATTTACACATTACTTTGTTGGTAGATTTATTGCAGCAAACTGAATCATCTTCATATGATAATACTTTACTCAGACGTTCCAGAGCGACAAGAGAACAGGTGATTACGATGTTCGTGGTGCTGTCCGTGTTCATAGCAGTCTTGAAGACAAACTGAAAAGAACAGAGCAAATGTATCAAGCCTGACTACTAACAGAGACAACTGCCAATCAATTGGCCTGTAAAACAATGAAAACAGTCCCGCAATCCCACAACCATTCAACCGACCAACCCCTAAATCAACGCAGTTAAAACTCCCACGGACCAACCAGCACACCCGCCATATCAAAGAATCCCATATAAAGAGGAAAAAAGCCCACTCTTTTATATAGTTTTGTATTAGTGTATAGTTTTGAGACTGTTGTTAGAGTAAAATGCATAAAATAAAAACAAGATAATAATTTTCTTTTTCTTTATTTTTATTTGCATTTGAGTCACCGTTTTTGTAACCAGGTGTAGACATTCTGTATATAATAAAAATAACAAAACAATCTTTCTGTATCATTTCTTGTTCTGTATTAAAAATGTTAACGGCTGTTATTAAATGTACGCATAACGGACTGACGCATAATCTTGTGCGTTTCCTAAATTGGGCTGCCTGTGTTATCGTTGATCTTTCACGTGACCCAAGAAGGAAGCAAATCCAAGATGGATGAYACGGGATGGCATCTCGATGCCTTTGATGATGGCTCGTTAAGTGAGTATCTGAAGCATTCGTTAATAATTTTCGGTATCCATTCTCAAGGAGAATWCCTATTCTTGCTCTTGGAGAATTCTTTAAGAGAGAAACATGAATAAATTTTGCAAACATTTCGTATTACTTATAAACTTCGTACTAGCTCAGCTGTTTTGCGCATACCTTTCGAATTTCATACACTGTGAAAAGTGTATTAATTTTATGAATATTTTCTGTTGTTATTATTATTATTATTATTTTCATGGTTTTGTCAATGAAAGACTTAAATGCATTTAAGTCAAGCCTCAATATTGCATATTAGCTTAAATCTAAAAGTTTACATTAAACCTATCTTAAATTCTCAGAAATTGTTAGCGAAACTCAACTCAAAAAGTATGGGAAGTTCTTGGAGGAGTATGCTAACCAGCTGCATGCAATTGAAAAAGCACTTGACGATACAGTAGGCGATACATGGAACCTTACACTAGACCCAATCAGTCTTCAGGTATAACTGAAAGAAATATGGAAATAATTTTTTTCATCCTTGTTTTCACTTCCCATGACCACATCTAGACAGATAGCTAGTGTATTTGTATCAAATTAGGATGAGCTGTTGAGCTTGTAGGGATAGATAATTGTGACTAGCTGTCCTAGGCATTAAAAAATTGTATTTATCAACTACATGTACATGTACATTGCTCAAAAAGTGCCTGGATTCAATGCAAGTAATGTACAGTGTACTTGTGCAACCCACCTTTCAGGGTTTTGCTGGGAGTGGTAATATGGATTCTACAAATTTAGACTTTCTGTTACTTACAATGTAAAGAAGTTATATTTTACTTTAAATTTGTGCTTCTTCTTCAGGTTCTTCCATATGAACAAACCAAATTACTAGAGCTGATAAAAACTGACAATAAAGTATGTGAAAGAGACAGCATAATTCAATCTCTAACTTGAACTGAACACTTATACAATGTATAATACTATGGATCATGATTGAAAAGATTGTATGTCTTGAATAGCTTATAACTGTTCTGTTTTATGGGCTTTTACTTCGTGTACTGGAGCACAGATTACAATAGAAACAAAGGGTTACAACAATGAAGCAGAATCTAAACAATACCCCAAAATACATGTACAATAAAACCCAACCAGAATACAATACATTACAGCTCACAAAGAAAGGCCCATTTTCTGTTATTCCTACTCTTGTCTGGTGAGCTTTATATCTTCAGCGTCGTCAACATTGAGTGCCAAAATTGTGAAAAAAAAAAACATTTGTAACATTTCACTTCTATTTTTGTAGGTTTTTAACAAGGTGATAACAGTGTTTGCTGCGTTATGTGGTGAGATGGAACAGTTAAGGCATGAGGTTYGTTTAAGCATCGCTGCCTATAAGTTGAAACTATATTTATTTATCTAAACTATTTTTTTTCTTATTTAAGGCTGTGACAAAGTTTTACACTCCTTTATTGCTATATGAAGAAGCAGGTACAGTGTAATTGTCAATTTATGTTTACAATGTTATTCAAATCTGAAGACTACTGCAAATTTTCTATCATTTTAGGCTCAGAAACAGAGCTTGAAGAAGGAGAAGCTCAGGTGAAACTCGGYCGAATGCTGTCTTTGCTACAAGTGAGTGAAGTAGACACTGTTAAGGTTACCAGTAATTCAGTTTATTCTCCATTTATCTTTTCATTGAATTAGCCATCAATCCATTCACTTGTACATGTAGTAGTCTCCTAATCCAATGATTGCTTCATTAATCAATCTTAATATTAATTTGTTTTCTTTCAGGAAATTTCAAGCTTTGTAACTCGTTGCTATGAAGTTGTGAAGAATGTGCTACAACAGCTTGGTTCTCTCTATAACAAGTTAGTATAAAGAAAATCATTGAATTAAGCACATCAAGAAATATTGAAGGGAATTGGTCAGAACATGTAAATCATTGCACAAAATTTATAGCACTTGATACACATTAATTTTGTTTGTAGATCTGGTCCAAAGGTCATTGACACTTCAGGAGTTCATTTTACAGTAAGAACATGATCTTCATTAAGTCTGCCATAGTTTACAATCATCTTATCAGTTTTGCTTCATCTCAGACTGTGTTTGAACATCTTGGTAAGCTACTCGGTGTCYTGATCACCTTGGATGAGATCTTAGAGGCCAGTCAAACACTTAGGGATCATTGGAAGCTCTATCGAAGGTAAACTATGTCAACTTACAAGATTTCTAGACTGCAGCTTTGAGATAGTGTTACTTGCTACTAAATTGTGTTGATTASAMMAKRWRAMAMARAAAWAWWWATAWWAKWRYAMWWKTRTWWKKTSTMTATWKTRTWTYWYMTMTMTYT